TTTTGCTGTCCACGGTGCTGAACCAGACACAATAGTTCCTCCCAATCCTAAAACTCTTGGCCCACCTCTCCTAGGAACCTGAGTAAGAGGCAATGTTGAGAGTGAAAAGAGAGACCAGAGAAGAGAGACATGGTTAGAGATGTGGAGAGACAGAGAGAGAAAGAAAAAGAGAAAGAGAGAGAGGCTTTTCTTTGGACACTGCTTTAACACAACCCAGATACCAGGCAGGTATATTCTCCCCTGCTCTCCACTCCCTGGGGAAAGCTGTTTGGGGATGTGTCTGCCTGTTGTAAATGTATGGCACAGCCCTCAGATTTCTTCTGAACTGGTTCCCTGGAAGTGGTCTGGGAGAAGGGGGGGGAGATGCTGGAATGGAGGAGGTGGGCCTAACAGGGACCTGGAGTGAGATGTGCCTGTGTGCGCTGGGGCAGGGGAGGGACAGAGAGCCAGCACCAAGATGAGCATCTTGATTAAAATGACCAAAGCCCCAAACAGTCTCTTCTCAATGGGTGGGTGGGCACAGCGAGGTTCCCCCCTGCTCCCCCCCCAGCTGACCATCCTGTGATGCTAAATGACATGTCCATGAACCTCGGTTTTAAGCTTGAGTTGTCTACAAGCCCAAAGAGGCACATATTCTCCATTGAGTGGTGGGGAAAAGTACCTAATTACCAGCTGCCCTGTGTCCTTTCATAACGATACAGGAATTCTCTTCAAGATAATGGATGAAGAGGTTATCAGAATTGAGAGAAAAGGTGATTTTTGCTGAAATAGGATTAAAAGCTGATTACTTAACATGTGTGCAGAATAGCAAAGCCTGGCCTGGTGACAACAAGCCCATCATCCCTCTGGAGTGACATGGGCAGTCAGCCTTACCCAGAGCTTGCCACTGCCCCAGATGTTGGTGAGAAACATGGAAACCATCAAATGAGATGCACGGTCTTGTCTGGCCTAGAAACACATAACCTGAGTGGTCCAGGGGTGGGGGTGGGGCGTAGCCAGGAAGGAATGATGGGCCATTTGCAGGAGATGTCACAGGCTCAGTAGAAACAGAACCAGCCCTGGAGTTTTCTGAAGTAGGAAATTAAGAGCTAGAGGTCAGGGAGCTTAACCTAGAATCTCTCAGCGCAGGTCTGATAAAGAGGCTGCTGGCATGTCTGTGGCAACACTCCAGATGGGGCCAGGACTATTTCATAGTAGTTTGCTGTCTTATACAATAGGGTCTTTGAAATGGACTGTTTGTGTCCCCCCAAAATTCAAAAGTTGAAATCATAACCTCCAGTGTGATAATGTTAGGAGGGGGGGCCTCTGGAAGCTGATTAGTAGATGAGGGTGGAGCCCGCATAAGTGGGGATCAGTGCCCTTATAAGACGGAGCCCAGAAAGATCCCTAACCCCTTTGGTCATGTTAGAATACAGCGAGAACTGTTGGTGGGCAGTCTGCAACCCAGAAGAGGGCCCTCACCCATCCAGCCTCCAGAACTGTGAGAGTACTTCTCTGTTGTTTATAAGCCACCTACCGTATCGTATTTTGCAGCCCGAACTAGGACAGCTTCCCACCCTGAGGTCTGAAAAGTGGTGACAGACTCCCCGGAGCTTTTCAAATACTTCCAAAAGCCAGCGGGAAATGCTGAGTCTCAAGCATTAGGCCATGGGGGCTGCCAGTGCAGAGGCCAGTGCACACCCAGTAGAGGCCCTGCTGGCTGTCTTGGGAGCAATGGAATTTCTGGTGTGACTGATGAGGTCAACACTAGTGTCTGTCTGTCAGGATATGATAGGGCTCTTCAAAATTAGAAGAGGGATTCTTGGTGTTGAAAAAATTGTTACAGGATTGGTGACCGTGGAGCTGATGGGGATGTGTCCTGAAAGGGCCGGCATTTATAGTTGTGCAGATTAAACACCACACCACTTTGGTGTGTGGGGCTGCCATCAACACTGCAGATATCAGAGGTTTGCATTTTTTAAATAACGGTTTTTTAGAAAATGGCAGTAAGTGTCTTGTTCTAACAAAATCAGCATATTATAATGATTTTAGGACCTATGGGAGCCAAGCGTCTTAAGAAGGAGCTGCCTTCCAACCACCCGGTGTGGCTCAGTTGGCTGAGCATCCTCCCATGCACACGGAGGTCACTGTTTCAATTCCCGACACATGCCTGGGTTGCAGGCTTGATCCCCAGTAGTGGGCATGCTGGAAGCAGCCGATCAATGTTTCTCTCTCATCAATGTTTCTCTCTCTCCCTCTCCTTCCTTCTCTCCGAAACCATTAAAAACATTTTTGGTTTTTGTTTTTTTGAAGAAAAGTCTGCCTTTTCTACTTTGTATGAAAATGCTGTGGATTGTAGGTGGCAGCACTGGGCATCTACTCCATACGGCCTCCGCAGCCTGGAGGGCACCGGGGGCCTGGCTATAACAGCAAGGTCCCTGGTAGTCAAATGCTATTCTACATTTTCATCTGGATGTTTGGAGGGCTATGTATTGGACTCAACATCACTTTGCCAAAAATTCAGCAAAAATTCAGCATCTGCTTTGCTCCAAAGGCTAGAGAGGGAGCCCCCACCATCCTCAGGGATTTTTTTCCTGGATGCTCACCTCAGCAGGAAGCAGGGTATAGGAGTAGAACTGCTTCATTTTAGTCACCAGATCGTCTGTGGAGAACGTCACATACTCCACAAACTTGCGGTTCAGCAGGAACCAATCGGAGCCGCCATCCACTGCAATGCCCTCTGGGATCCGCCGGTCCCCCAGGCGCCACATGTGGGCGTCACACTCCAGGAAGAGCCGGTCCAGGCCCTGTTTCCGGATGAACCTGAAAGAGACAAAGAAGCTATTAGACCAAAGGTGCCTCCACCAGGAGTCCAAATGAGGTGGCACAATCCTGGTGATCAAAGCATTTATTGGGCACTGACTGTGTGCCGGGTACTGAGCCAGGGCTCTGTGTATAGACTGTCATCTGGTCTTTACGGTGAGGCAGGTACTATTATTGCACCCATTTTACAAAATAAGTTTTTAAAAACAGCAAAGTTATGATACGGTAACTCATGTGCTCTTTGATTCACACATTAAATATAGGATTACAAAATATTTCTTAAAACACCAAATTTATGATAATTACATGTTTCTTTCCTAACACCTGAAATAACAAGATCTTGTGGCAGGTCTGCTAACCACTGCAGTTGCTAAGAAGTGGTGAGCAGAAATGACGGTTAGAGGTAGATGCATCAACTATAATGTGATATGAAAATATGTGTTTCCTAACAGTTACTGCTCATACTACCGTGGTTTGTTCTCTGTGTTTAGCTAGGTTCCAGTTAGAGTTCAGGGAAAATCAAGAACATTTTCTTCCCATTCAAAGTCACAGGCCCTCTGAATTCCATCTAGGAACTTCAGATGGAGAACTGCTCTAGAGTATATACGTATAAATATTTGGGATTTTGCAAGGCAGGCCGGGCAGCACTGGCACTTCCTATTTTGTAAATGCAGAAGTCTATGGTCAAAGAGCTGAGGGAAGGGATCAATGGGGAAAATATCTGTAATATTTTCAACAATAAAGACAATTTTTTTAAAAAAGCTGATAAAACAGGTATGTGGGGAGACTGGACAGAGCAAGAACCTAACTTTCTGGCCCAAACCCTGTGCATTTACAGTGAGCATTAATTGCAGACCTACTATGTGCCAGGTATTGTGCTGGCCCTGGTGCAAGGCAGGGACTAAGGATGATCCCTGCTCCTCAGGAGCTAGCAACCTAGTTGGGAGCTCAGTCAAGAGGTCTCCCGGCTAGTCAGGGATCCTGCTGCTCCTCCAGCTCTACAACACAACGCCAAGCATTTTAAAGTGCACGATTCAATGACATGGAGTTCATTCACAACGTGTGCAAACATCACCTCTATCTAGTTTCAAAATATTTCATCACCCCATATGCAGTCTCTGGCCAAACCCTCCCAGCCCCTGGCAACCACCAAACTGCTTTCCATCTCTGTGGATTTACCAATTCTGGGTATTTCATATAGATGGAATCCTACAATATGTTGGTCTTTTTGTTTGGCTTCTTCCACCAACCATGTTTTCAAGGTTCATCCACATTGTAGCACATACCGGTGTTTCATTCCTTGTTTCTGTCTATCCAGCATTTATGCCTCATTTTTCTGGGAAACATCTCAATTTTACTTTGAACGGTCACTAATCTTCAACTCTCTGTTCACTTGGGTTTGCACCTATCCCTAAAATCAGGGGCAGGAACATGAGCCAGGCTGGTCAATTCCATCTGCTTCACCATAATATTGGTTCAGGGATGGGTGAGAAACTCAAGCTGAGTTTGAGATTGGGTTCTGGATTTTTGCTGAATTTACCAGGAAGGAAGACTCTTCGATGGGATTTTTGGCTGACAGAATGCAAGCCTAGAGCATCTTATCACCATGAGTACAGAGGTTGTCTGACAGGGGAGGTAAGACAGAAAGAAGGGGGTGGGCAGGCATTACATGGGAGCCCAGGGAAAGTCGCCAGCTTTTCTGAGGATCCAGAGGACTACAGGCAAGGACAGAAGCCAATCAGAAGATCCAGGTATCCAACATCCCTGGTCTTGTTCTTTTTCTAACATCATTCCACCTGCCAAATCCAAGCTTGGTGGGCAAAGGGTTAGGGACCTCTTTGTGGGGCGTGACCTGGTGAAGGTTTTTCATTATAGTCACCCTATCACACCACAGACACAAAGTCTGGCTTTAACCAGTTCATTAAAAGGAGCCCCGAGTTTAGGAAAATAAAATCCTACCTCTACTCTGGCTGGTGCTAGTTTGTACAATAATATTCAGTTGATGAATTTAACCATGCTTAACACATTACATTTTAGATAATTTATATCAAATCTCACATGGTAACCAAGACTAACCCAGAGAGAGAAATAAAAGATATACAGGTGCGAGGACTTGCAAAATTTTTCTTCCCATGGACCAGCGTTATAATTTTATGTTCCATTATATGGGATAACAGCATCATCTTGCAATTTTAATGTGATGTCCCAGACCATAATATCCAAATACAATATTTATGTAGCAATCTCCAAAATGAAATATTCATGGAGTTGGGAGATTGGTTGCTGTATTTACTGCATTCCCAAACTGATAAGCTGCAAGCACATGCTTTGGTTAATCATGAGTAAAAATAGAGACAACCAAGTCCCAAGGTCTCAGAAAAGTTCCTGGGCTGAGAGGGGCTACCAGGACTGGGTCTGGACTGGAAGAAAGTGGCAGAGACCCAGGGTCTGGGTATCTAGCAGGTGAAAGGAATCAGCTGCTCAGGGAGTGATTTGCTGTTTTTCCTGCCCCGTGCATTAACCATAACTTGAAAAGGTAAAGGCTGGAAATCAAGGTAAGTCAGTAGACACCTGGGCGTGTCTTTTCAAAGATGCGGGCTCACCAGTAAAGGGTGCGTGGCTCTCTTACCTGGGGGTTGGAGGGCAGATTGATCTGCAGCAGTAAGTCCAAGACACAAGAGGTGACTAATGATGCTCTCCTCCCTTCAGTTTCATTTCCCACTGACTTGGTTACCTGGGGCTACCGGGTCAATGGGTGGAACTACCGAAGGACAGACACCAAAAGGATCTGGGTACCAATCCTGCCTCTGCTTTCACAGACTGAGATGGGGGGCTGGCTCAACCTCTCTGAACCCAGTTTCCTCACCTGTCGGATGAGCCCTGTACCCCTGTCCTGATACCTCTAGAATCAGCTGTGAAAGTGCGATGGGTGATGTTCACGAAGGTCCTTGCGCAGCGTTTGGTAATCACAGGGTTTGGTAAGCACAGTTCACCCGAGCAATGGACTGACCCAGCCATCAGTTCCTTCTTATAGAGCGATAACACACACCCCCAACCCTCACATCCCTCATCACCCTTCCATGTTTTATTTTTCCCCCTAGCACTTTAAACTTTCAATATCACATACAAGATATTTATTTAGCTTATTGTCTGTTTCTCATTACTAGACATAAGCCCCAAGGGGTTAGAGATTTTTGTCTAATTTTGTTCACTGCTGCGTCCTTAATGTCTAGAAAGGTGCCTAGCATACAGCTGGTGCTCAATACATATTTACTGAGTAAATAAATAAAGGCAAGAGTAACAGCAGGCCTGTCAGGCAATCGGGAAGCTGCAGTGGTTAGTGAATTAGATCAGGTGTCCGATTCTTCTAACATGCATTTGATAGATGAAGAAACTGAGTCACAGGAAGGTTAAGTCAATACCCCAAAGCCACACAGATAGCAGTCCTGGACTTGAATCCAGCCTGGAATCCAGTGCAAGCTTTGTAGCCTTTGGAAATGACCTGAGAAAAGGCAGGCAATGAAGAAGGCCTTCGATTCAGTTAATTCCCTTGCTACAATCTCACCACAGCCACTGAGTATGAAATTATTCCAGAGCTGTCTTGTCCTGTAATGAGTTCTAAAAGGAAGAACTCTGCCCCTCAGATTTTACAGCATGTTTGAGCACGAAGGAATCTTAGCGATCAGCTAATAATAACTAATTCTACAGATTAAACACACACAGGCGCACTGAGACCTGGAGGGATGGATGATCCAAAGTCATCCAAAGTCACAGAGCCTAGGAAAAAAAAAATCTTCCTTTCTTCTCTTTCCTGCCCAGTGATCTGTCACTGAACCCAGATTACTCCTTTAGCATAAGTACAACCTAAGCATTTTTGTTAAAAAATAAAGTCCCGGAACAAAGCATGAAAACCACAGTGTATGAAGTCAGCCAGCTATGTGAATGGACTCACGATGACAGCCATATGATGATGCTCAGGCCGAGCTTCGGGCTCTGGAGTCAGACTGCTTGATTCAAGTCCTGGGTCTGCACTCACCTGGGGCTCAGTTTCTCATGTGGAAAATGGTGATCATAATAATAGCTGCCTCGCAGAGTTGGTGTGAAGGTTTAAATGAGATGATATACGGAGAAGACTTAGCAAAGTGCTCAGCACATAGTAAGTGCTCCGTAAATGTTCACCAAGACGCTTAATGTTTTCCTTTTGTCAAGCTAGAAAATTTAAATTTCTATCTCTCCTGCCATTTGGTATAGGCGTGTACAGGGCACGGGAAGAGCTAAGGAGAAACCGTCTATGGACTGAAAAGCAAGGATATTTCAGCACCAAGGACAGAAGCCAAAACGGCCCCACAGAGAACACTCTCTCTTGCTATTATTTTTGTTTAGCAGTGCCCATGGTTGCGGTGGTAGAGGTGACAAGTGTCATGGGTAACTTACTTCTGTCTGAGCACCATGAATACAAAACTCTCCCCCGTTCCATGCCATGAGTCAGCGAGGACTCTGCTCACTGGGTTCCTAGTTTGGCAGCTCCTTAGGGGCCCCTCTGGCCATTTGTCTCAGGCTGGGGGTGGTTGTGCCCCTTCCTGACCTCGGCTGCCTGGAAGAGCAAAGGATCTTGGGGCATTGCCTCTTTCAGCAGCAGCTCTGCAGAGCACCTCCGGTACTCCAGATCTGTGTGCTGAGACCATGCTTGTGAATAAGATGGGTATCACCCCTGCCTTCTCTCTCTTCTAGGGGGAGAGAGAAAAAAGTGAAATAGTAACACCCGTCATTTACTGAGCACTTGCTACTTTCTAGGCCCTTTCTAGACCCTAACATGTATTCTCCCACTTAGTCTTCACCACAGTCCTAGGAGGGTTCATTTTACCCTCCTAGAGGAATAGAGACACAGAGAGGTTAAGTAATTTTCCCAAGGCCACACAGTTGGTTAGTGCGATTTAAACCTTAGCAGTCAGGCTCTGGATTCCACACTCTTAGCCACAAGGCTATAAAACTGCTCTAAT